ATGGAGGGGTGAGGGAGCTGGGATATTAATACTTCATCTCCTTAGAGTCATTAGTTGAGAGCTGCTCCCAGAGGTGATAATGCCCAGATTCTTCTGGCCTGCTACACCTGGGCAAAACAGATTTCCAGTTTTAGGAAAAGTCCTCAGGAATAGAGATACAGATATGGAGTCTTGGGAGTCAGTTGGAGCACAATTAAAGGAATAAAGTCAGTGAAGTTGGAGTAAAATTCGAGGAATGAGAGTGGGGATGCTGATTGCTTCTGCTACAGCTGGCAATTTTTTGTTTGCAGACAAAGAGTGTTCAAGAATTGAAAAGTACAGACTTTTTCTATGACATATAAGAAGCACTTGATAATTTCCAGATGGAATTCCTGCAGCCTCAACATCTGGAGAATTTCTCAGGCATCTCTTGCCTTGCATGATGCCCTGGTCCATGCCTGGGTGTGGGTCTCTTTTATCTCGCCAGGCTTATTAGGACTCCCTGAAAGCAGGGCCCAGTGCCCCTCCTCCTCTCTTTTCCTCCCAAGGCCTGCTCGAATGAGGACACATGTTATAATTGATGACCACATACGTGAATACTGCTCTATAAATGGACTTGAGAGAAAAAAATAGTTGGAATCAAGGGTCTTACTTCTGCCTGCCTGCCCTGATGGTCACATATCAGGTTCCTTGTTATTCATATCTGAGCTGCAATGTTACCTCCTCAGGTCATCCCTGACTCCACAATTTAAAGTAGCCACCCAGACACTCTCCAGCACACTACCCTGTTGAAATTCTCTGCAGAGCACTTATTACCATGTGAAGCTTTCCTTAATTATTTATACTCTATTGTGTGTCTCCCCCATAAATACAGATTATTTATACTGTATTGTCTTCTTTATACCAGAATAAAAGTTTCATGAGAGCAGAGACGTTGTCTGGCTTCCTCCCTGCAGTACCTTCAGCACATACTAGTTGATCAATAAATATATATATATATTTTTTGTGAGGAGATCAGCCCTGTGCTAACATCTGCCAGTCCTCCTGTTTTTTTCGTTGTTACTGAGGAAGACTGGCCCTGGGCTAACATCCATGCCCATCTTCTTCCACTTTATATGGGACGTCGCCATAGCATGGCTTGCCAAGCAGTGCGTCAGTGTGCGCCTGGGATCCGAACCGGCGAACCCCGGGCTGCTGCAGTGGAGTGCGCACACTTAACAGCTTGCACCACCAGGCCGGCCCCAAGGAATTTTTTTTTTTTTTTT